TTTTTGAAAGGAAACGGAGAGAAAGGAAAGTAATAAATTTTACATCTCCTAACCTCCATTCTATATAATTTAGTTAACCCCTAAATTACGGTGTAGAAGAGGTGAATTGTTATGGACCATTATGATACAAATCCAGTAGCTAAGAAATGATTCATCTCTACTTCCTTTGCTAAACTCCCAAATATAATTATTACATTTTCTCTCCCCTTCCTCCCCTTTCCTTTACATTATTTTCTCTTCCCCTCCATTTATGGTGTGTTTGGGAGTTTACTTAGGGAAGGGAAGGAAGGGGAATTTTTCCCCTTCCTTCCCTTCCCCTCCATTACACCCTAATTTGGGGTGTAAGAATTTGGGTCAAATTTTCCCTCCATTCCCCTCCTCTACCCTCTAAAATGAAACTCCCAAACAAGGTTAAAATAAAATTTCCCTTCTCTTCCCCCTCTCTACCCTCCATCCAAACAGGAGTATATAGAGAAAAGCTTCATACTTTGAGGATAAGTAAGGTGTTTTATCACTTAACCCCTAATAATTGTAACTTAATATTGTTAATATTGTAGAGATTTATATAGTGTCCTGTAACATCAAGTGATATCAGCTAATTTCCTATATTTATTTATTTACTTGCATTTATTACTTAGTAAGCTAGTAAAATAAGTTTGAAGAATTTGTTGAATTATGAAAATATCACTAGAACAAAATCTTTGATCCATCAATGGTGAAGTGATAGAAATATTTTAACCCGTCAAAAATATAATGCAAAACTAGTAAATATGCAGATTAGAGGAATGAACTTGAAAGTAATATAAATTTGAGGTATATGACTAAAAGAAGCATTTTTAATTTATAATCACGTGCACTTCGCTCCAGGAAGTGCGTGATTGAATCCCACCAAAGAACGCGTTCCTATGTTGTTTTCTTTTAAGGGGCTGTTTGGTTGGTTTCCTAAAAACCAAGAAAATGAAATCTTTGTATTTTTTTATTAAAATATTATTTCATTTTCATCCCTAAAACTCACCCAAAAAAAAGAAAATTTATATATTTTTATCAATAAAATATTATTTTTATCCACCAACTCATCACATCTTATCTTATTTCTTACTTTTAAAAATAAACCAAACACAAGAAATGGGTCATATCATCCAACTCATCTCATCTCATTGTTAAAAATCACACACATCATCCAATAATATAGTGATAACTCATCTCATCTCTTTAACATTTTATTTTCACCAATTTCCTCAAAAAACTAAGGAAATTGATTTCCTTAAATGTGGGTCACATCATCCAATAATATAATGACAACTCATCTCATCTCATCTTTTTTCTTATTTTTAAGAATGAACCAAACACAAGAAAAGAACTTATTATAGGAAATATGTTTCTTATAATACATTTCCTTATTTTTTTAACCAACCAAACTTAAAACAAGTTTTCTTAAAAACCACTTACATCATCCAATAATATGGTGACAACTCATCTCATCTCATCTCTTATTCTTTGATTTCCTTTTTTTTTAGCCAACCGAACAACCATAATACAAGTTTTCCTATTCTTTGATTTCCCGCTTTTTTAAGGCAACCATAATACAAGTATATTACTATTTGTTGTAGTTTTTTTTAACACATTGTAGCATCACTTATCATTTTAAACTAGCATTGTTGACTAAGTCAATGAAATCTGATAGATGTAGTAATATACTATAATTTTAGTTGTGAGGTAAGAAAATAATAGGGGCAAATTTCTCAAACACCAAGAAGTTTGGTCCATTTTGAAATAACTACTGAAATATTTGAATTGGTCACTTAATTCACTTTTTTCCATTTTTTTGAGTCTATCTATACATAATTCCAAATTTTGGTGATTATACAACGTTTAGGGGTTAAGTGAAGTTTTTAAACTTTTTGGGTTATCCGTAAATGATGTAAACTTATTGGATTTTCCGTAATTTACCCAAATAATAGGACCAACTTGCACATCCAAATAGTTGGGATAACAAAAAAGGCAAAGGATAAAACTAATTTGGATCATCTCCACTACAAAAAAGTAGTGGAGAGACCACTACTTTTAATCTTAATCGTTGATTACTTAGTAGGCGGTTATGATACAATCTAAATCTAACACTCATCATACTCTCGTGTATTACACTCATTCCTAATTCGCACTAAAAAAAATCACAACCACCAATTAGATAATCAATGATTGTGATTATGTAGTAGTCCCTCCACTACTTTTTAGATAGTGGAGAGGATCTGAATCCGGATAAAACGAACACAAGTTTTGCACCTAGAGATTACATTACTTGTTCTTAAAATTATCCTAATTTAACAAGCAAAAGGCTTGCATCACATGGAGAATCTCTATAGAATCAACAAAGTTTAT